GTGGGTGGGTGGGTGGATGAATGAATGAAATGGGTGGATGGGTGGGTGGATGGATGGATGGATGGATGGATGGGTGAGTAGGAGGATTCGCGGATGGATGGGTGGGTGAGTTGGTGGGCGTGTGGGTGGGCGAATAGAATTTAGAATGACTGACAGAGCGGTGCAAGATGGCAGGTTTATAGTTCATGCTTAATTAAATGTTGTACGCCCTGGCAGCTGAGTGAAATTAAAGAGAACAACATGAAGTGTACTATTAAATGTTTTATTGGTAGAAAAACGGGTTTTGAGTGACGCCACTTTCACGTAATAATACAGACATAGAAATGACTCAAATGTGTTGATACTGACATAGAAAGAATTAAAATGTTTTCAACATTGATATAGACATGACTAGAAATATGTTGAACATAGACATTAAAATGACCAAAATGGGCTGATACTGACAACGGTATCACTAAAATACAGACTACGGACTTCAACATAAGTTAAGGACCACTGGCAAACACTCTGAGAGGTCTTCTTAGGTAGACCTGTACGAGGGTGTTTTTGGACTGATCAAGTGGTTAGATGACACTGCCTCAAGCGGACAATGACAGAGTGTGACACTGCAAGCCTTGTGGCAACTTCTTGGGCTCCAACTCCATCCTGCAGCCATGCCATAGCCCTGGCACGATCAAAGTCTCTCGGCTTTTGTCTCTGTGGCATGTTGATGCGATACTGGATTTGCGCAAACGGCGGCTTATATTGCCACCAAAATGAGCTCAGTTCGAGAACATACGTCCGTTTATGACGTGCACCAGAAATTTTAACTCAACAAGATCCGTGGTGTCGCACACAAGTCTATAGAAAAACAGCAAATTCGGCTAAAATTCCCCGAGGATTTCCGTGCTGCACGCAGTGGTTTTGCCCTTTTAGGAAGCTTTGCAGTACGCATTGGTAACCCATTAATGCTTTTAGAGCAAACAATTTTGAAATATTCCTTGCTGTCTTTTTTGGGGATAAAAAAAAAGATCAGGGCTGTCTGTCAATGTGGTCCTTAACTTATGTTGAAGTCTGTATGTTGATACTGACATAGAAGTGACTAAAATGGGTTGATATTAAAAACGAAATAACTAAACTGTATTGAATAATATTGCATTCGATACTTGCCATTTACGTACGGTTTGGAAAAGACAAAATAACACCAAAATAAAACCTTCAAATTTTCTTTACTTTTTTCAAGAGAGCTGTGTTTCTCGAAAATGCCGTATTCTTCTTCTTGCTATCACTGTCATTCGGACCAGGTACTTTTGAGCTATGCGTCCGCTGTTCTGACTAAATCGGATACAAGACGTTTTTCTACAAGAAAAAAAGATTATGTAGATCTAAAAAATGTAATGAGCTTTTGTTTCGTATTAGTTTGTGCGTTCGGTTTGAAAAACAACAATATCAAACATCTTGATCACTACATGTTTTCTTGGAATTGGAAGATGAAGATAAACTTAACAAGAGGTAATCTAACCTTGCACAGCATCAAACAGCTTGTCCCTACGACTTATTTAGCTTGATTGGAGATAATAGAAAATCGTACTGCATTTAAAACTACTTACTTACTTATCGTAACTAGGGTTGATTTTAACTCGTAAAGCATTTATAGGTTATCCCAGGGTTATAACAAACTACTTACTTAGCTTGAATAGAGATTATATTTATGCGTTCGTACAGCATTCACTCGGTTATCGCAAGCTTATAACAAACGTCTTAATTTACTAAAGATAGTTTTAATTCGTAAATTATGTTAAGGTTACCCCTAAATTATAACTTACCACTTTGTTCTTAACTAGAGATAATTTCAATCCGTAAAGCTTTTAATAGGTTACCCCTAGATCATAACCGACCACTTACTAGCTTAACTTAGAGATAATTTCAACTCGTACAGCATGTTATCCCAAGAGTATAACAAACTATTTCCTGAGCTTAACGGGAGATAATATAAATTCACAAAGCGTTTGTAGGTATTCCTAAGCTATATCAAACTACATATTTAGCTTATTTAGAGAAAAATAATTAATAAACTCGCAAAACATTTAACAGTTCATCCCAGGATAGTAACAAACTACGTATTCAGCTTATCTATAGATAATAATATTATAAACTAGTAAAGCATTTGAGGGAAACTACTTATTTAGCTTATCTATAGATGATATAAACTAGTAAAGCATTTGATAGGTCACCCCTAGACTATAACACACTAGTCACACTTACAGCATACTCCGCACGCTTACGTGCGATGCTTGAGCATGTACAATTTGGACAAACGTAAACTTGGACCCCTCATTGGGAACTGGTTTGACCTAGTGCGCAGATCAAGGGGTTACAGTGGGACTGGTGCTATGTCTTATATTGTCGTTTTTCAGCACAAGGGGGCTATCCCATAAATTGTTGTTTTGAGGAAATCGAAGGTAAAGTTTTTGGACTCTTGTTCAGTCTCTTTAAAAGACAAGGAGAGTTTTCTCTATAATCAAACAATAAATATACACACCAAAGAAACCAAACTTCTCCTATAGGTAAAGCAGTGCCCACTTTTGGTGTGGGTCAAGATTTCTGGAAACCCCCGACATCTGGGTTAGCCCACTTGTCCTTAAAAGCATCCATATGAGCAGTAAACAGCTAGCTTTGATCTCAAATGCCCACAAAGACACTAAGGGGCTAAACTTTACTTTCACTACACATTGTATTGTTGGTGTTCATCGGTAGAGGTTACGGCTATTCCTAATGAATGCAGGGAGTGGGCTGGGTGACTGTTTTATCAAACAATGATTTTCAGTGAGGTACATTTCGTTTCTAAAAAAGCCACAACAAACTAACAAACAACCCCCCCCCAAAAAAAAAGCAACAACAACACACACAAAAAAAACAACACAAACAAACAAAAAAAAAAGCCAACAAAAGCAAAGCGCAAACACAACAAAACAATAATAAAAAATATAAATGAAATAATAAGCAAAATATGCCTCTCATCTTAGGAAGAGCTCGACATTAATGAAACCTGAATAAAAAATTCCCTGATCACAAGTATACCGCAGGGAATATATTATTGCTAATTGAACATGGAAAGCACTCAACGCCCGTGCTTTTTATCCGCCGGTGGTCAATATTGTTACTACTATTATCATAATTATTATTATTATTATTATCATTATCATTATTATTATTATGATTACTACTACTTCTATTATTATTGTTAATATTATTATAATTATAATAATAATTATAATAATAATTATCATTATTGTTATAATTATCATTATTGTTGTTGTTGTTGTTGTTGTTGTTGTTGTTGTTGTTGTTGTTGTTGTTGTTGTTCTTCTTCTTCTTCTTCTTCTTCTTCTTCTTCTTCTTCTTCTTCTTCTTCTTCTTCTTCTTCTTCTTCTTCTTCTTCTTCTTCTTCTTCTTCTTCTTCTTCTTCTTTTTCTTCTTCTTATTATTATTATTATGGAGGGGGTTATGAAAAAATCAAGCCGATGGAGGAGGAAAATTGGCTTTTTAACATGCTTCGTTTCCCCGGCCACAGAAAATTCCCTTCAGGGGCTTTATTGCAAATCGTAATTATAATAATATTAAATGTGTTGAGTATTGAATTCTTAAACGTGTCAGCAACATTATCTATAACAGCATGTTCCCCGTGTCCTCGGTTCCCGACTGCTTGAGGTAAGCGCGATTCGACAATTTCTTTTTATAATAAACGATACACAGCACTAAGATCAGACAGACCATAAAGACGAGACACAGAATCCCCACCAAGACCCACGTGACAACCACGTAGTTGTTCAGGCCGGGCTCTCCCTGCGGCACGACCAGCGCGGGAACCAGAAAGTTCCAGAAGGTGGAGTATCTGGCCCGCAAGTGCCGCTCGTTCTTGTACCGGACGCCGCCAGACGACGGGTCGTGGAAGATTCGCACGTAGCTCTGGTTGGCGCCGTACGGATGGATGCTGGTGGTGCTACTTCCGTTAGGAGCCGAGGGCCGCCTGAAATGTACAGTATCTCTATATTATAATCTCTACTTATTATATTTTTGGAAGTTCGTCGCTTTGGCCACCTGAAATATGCAGTATATAATATTAATTATGTGAAGCGTGCTGACAAAATGATGTACTTCTCGGATTCGAGCCCTGTGGAAATAGATACATAATAGATATATAGATAGCATTTGTATAGCGAAAATCCCCACTCAACACCAAGTTCTATGAGCTTCACAATCTATACTATTACCCCAGCAGACCCGAAAGCATTCTGAAATAACCTCAACATCCTGGGAAGCATACGGTGCAAGCGGCCATTTATAGGCGCTAAAACACTAACATACTAATAGGATCTTTCGCTGTCTATTGTCGGGTACCCATTCCCACCTGGGTGAAGTGAGGAACATTCGTGTAAGGTGCGTTTCCCAAGGACACAACGTCGGGCCGCGGCTCGAACCCTCGAACCCGCAACCTCACGATAACGAATCCGATAGCCTAACCACTAGGCCAACGACGCCACATCACGCTTATAAGTGAAATAATAAAAGGCATGTTATACTCGTACATAAAGAATATGGCATCAATAGAAAATCTACTAAAAATCCAGTTTGACCACAGTGTCGATTTTTGGCCAGATATCTCCATTTGTGGGTGGCAAGAAGTAACTCATTTTGTCAGCTCACCTCAAATATGTCTACGGATTGATCTTTTAAATATCAATGACAATTCTGAAATTTGCATCTTATAATATGTCTATGGATGGATGTTTGAAATATCAGTGACAATTCTGAAATATCCATTATTCAATACGTCTATGGCCCGATATTTAAAATATCAATAACAATTCTGAAAAAAGCATCATATAATGAAATAAGCATCATATAATGAAATAAGCATCATATAATATGGCTATGGCTCGGTGTTTAACCCTATCCGTACGTCGTGTTTTACCATCGTATCCATATGGCGTGGGGAACTCTGTGCCACCACTTTCCAAAGAGGAAATTTACTCGTTTGAAGGTGTGAGGACTGGAGAAACGACGCGGAATACCCACTGCTGTGATCCAAGATGCAGCCCGAAAACAGCGTATTCGGCTTTTAAAAAAAAATCGAATTTGAATTCTATCAATTTAATATCTTTCATCCTTTTTTTGTCGGAAACTTGTAAAAATTTGGGTTACGGGCCCTGACCTGACCATCAATAATTCATTTACAGAGGCACCAGCCAATATGGTTACGAGTGTATCTAACGTTGCTTTTTAAAGCTTTATTTTTCAGATAGGCTACCCTTCCTGGCATTCATGGCAATAGAATAGACAAAGAAGTATAAATTATAACACGAATGGCATAGCAAAGTGTTTGATGAAAACCGCAATATACGGTGCGTCTATGTTAGATTCTGCTGAAATATCAAGCAACCCCCCCCCCCCCCCCCCCCCCCCACCCCACTCGACCACTTTGAGGACGAACGTCTGCGTAAACTATAAAGCCTTTCTTCTACCAGGGGCATACCAAACGTTTTTTCCCTGACCAGGAAAGAATAAAGGCACAAAGCTGAAATTTGGCACTAAGCTTAGTCTTTCTAGCTCTATGTAGTCGCCTCCCACAGTTACACATTGTTGCCATCAGTGTATGGCCTTGATAAGACCTGGAGAATAGAGGACTCTCTCTTTGTCAGGAAACCAGCCCTCGAATGCCCACGAATCTGCATTTGAAATTTTTAAACCAGAATTTCATCAAAGCATAGGATTGGCAATCAGTTCCATATGCGGCATGCATTTTCGTAATACTATCCTGCTGTTGCTTGTTTGCAAGACCAAAAACTTCATTACTTCCCTGTGCTCAATTTTCTTCATTTGTATGTTGAAACTGGAGAACAACATATCCCTATTCACTCACAGTGCACTGGTGGTAAAACCAGTGATTGAAAATTTCCTAAAATTGACATACATTTTAGGAAGATATTTGTTGGCTTTCACCCCAAATTTCATCCATCTACCTGTATCCCTTCATGGTCAGGTAAAAAAAACCTTTTGGTATGCCCCCTCGTATGTCTTGGTACAACTTAAACCTACCCTGTGTGTCATGGAGCTGCGCACAGCTGCCTCGACTCTGCTTTTTAAAAATTTCATACTGCGGAGATTTTAAAGTTGGATAGAGGATAAATAACCACAGCTTAGAAACATTCATATTTTATTAAAAGAAACGATCGGCTTGCAAGGTCGAGTCGATGGAATTATTTTATTTCAAAAGGTTCTCGCTATTTCTCAAAAGTACACCGCTGCACCAGTTCAGTAGAGCGTTTGCCCCCACGTCTGGCTGGCAAATGTTTTTTTTTTTTTTTTAAACGTGGCTGCATCCCAATTACAAGCCAAACATGTTACCCGACCTTGATGCTCCCCTGGCAATTGCTGTGGTAGTGGGGATAACTTGATCTGAAAAGTTTTTCAAGGGTTCCTGGTCCATGACGAAAAGACATGTTCACGAGACCAAGAGGTGCAGCGAGCACTCAGCGCACGAGGCAAATACACGTAGGGGGCGCGGTCACCTTTCCAAATTACAATTCACGGATGGCTAGTTCTCATGTATTTCCTGTTGGCAATAGGCTTTTTTCTGCAAACGTACCTGTGCAAGACGTCATTTTCTGATGTGAGATGACAAGCAATACACAGTCTCTCATATTACCTACAATTCCGAAAATTCGAAATCAGTTTGAAAGACTATTATACAGCGTAATCGTCGCTAAAAAATTTATGATGGATCCCATATTTATTTAAATGAATGCTCTGAAATCTTTCGGAAGACTCGTGTGGCTAGTTGTGGGTCTGATGCACAAGCCTGACTCCAGTTTAGAAAAGCGCAGACATTCTCTAAGAATGTTCACTATATCGCCTTCATGAGTTTACAGACATACTCTCCGAGTGTTCACAATGTCGCCTACATAATACTTCTTGAGCTTACAGATATACTCTTTCAGTGTTCACAATGTCGCTCACTTGTAATTCTTGAGTTTACAGACACGCTCTTTGAGTGTTCACCATGTCGTCTTGAGCTTACAGACATACGGTGTTCGCCTCTCATTCAATAGGACTCGGGTTCCAAACCTAGCAGTTACGGAAAATTTCTTCTCTAAAATTGTCTCCTTTCACCTCCTTTCACGCTCAGAGCCCGTGTTCTTTAATCGGTTTTAAGGCGCTGTATAAATGTTATTTATCATTATGAATAGTATTAGTGAAATGTTATTTATCATTATGAATAGTATTAGTGAAATGTTATTTATCATTATGAATAGTATTAGTGAAATGTTATTTATCATTATGAATAGTATTAGTGAAATGTTATTTATCATTATGAATAGTATTAGTGAAATGACGCAACATAATAATAAATCGATGGCTGGGTGCAAGAAGTGACTTTATCCACTTTTGGTCGAAATGGAGTAATAGATAGGGGTAGTAAGATTAAGTCGCTCTTTTACATTTGTAAATATCTAAGCCACAGCTTAATTTGGTATCGAGGTATCAACGTTTCTTTCTATTTTTGTGACTATGTTATGGAGATTTCAATATCATAACAATTTGAAACTGGTTTTTCTCGAAGCCGTGAAAAATGTATATGTGAGATGTGCTGACAAAATGAGTTACTTCTCGCAATCCACGAATGGATACGTAGGCCGAAAATACACTCATCAAATTTGTAAATTTTAAACTGATCCTTTTTTCTTCAAGTTTAATGCCTTTTATCATCCCATATGCAAAATTATTTCAACCTAAACAATAACTTTGATATAATCTATCATGAGACTGGAATTCGAAAAGCAACTCATTTTGTCAGCGTCCTTCACATATGTAGCCTCTTCTTGCGCTGAGCTGTCGATACCTCCCAGATGTAGGAACAACTCAGATAGAAACCGTGAAGTGGCACATGATTATAATTATTCATCCTTGCAAAATATGTAAACGTCTAGGAACAACACGCACAGATATATATACGAGGGGCATACCAAAAGTTTTGTTTTTCTGACCACGAAGAAATAAAGGTAGAAAGCTGAAATTTGGTGTAGTAAAAGGCAACAATAATCTTTTTAAAGAATGCTTGTAGATTTTGGGGAATTTCCAATGACTAGTTTTAAAACCAGCGCTCTGTAAGTGAATGGGGGTATGTTGTTCACCAGTTTCAACATTAAAAAAGGAGAAAATTTTTCACATGACAATAATGAAGTTTTGTTCTTACAAGGCAAGCAACTACAGAATATTTTTACGGAGATACAAGCCGTATATGGACCTGATTGCCAATCATATGCTGTGATAAAATTTTGGTGTAAAAAAAGTGATGATGAGGTCAAAGAAGCGGAAGAGGGCTGGTTTTCTGACATAGAGAGGGTCCTCTATTCTCAAAGTCTTTTCAAGGTTATACACAGATGGAAAACATGTATAACTCTGGGAGGCGACAAAGGAAAGAAAGACTAAGCGTAGTACCAAATTCCAGCTTTCTACCTTTATTCCTTCATGGTCAGATAAAAAAAACCTTGCGGTATGCCCCTCGTATTATGCACACATGTAGGAACAACACGCACAGATAGCCTAGTACATGTATAACACACACATGTAGGAACAACACGCACAGATAGCCTAGTACATGTAGAACGCACACATGTAGGAACAACACGCACAGATAGCCT